ATATATATATATATATATATCGAAAATCTTATTTCTACATGGGAAGTGGTAACTTGGAGTATATGAGATCAAAGTCGTGGAAACTGACAGCATGGCTCCACACCAAACCTCAAATAATAACTTCCCAGATCATGTATTTCAGAAAATATTAAGGATATCATCCAATAGTTACTTAGAAAAACTAATATGCAGTCAACAATATCATTTAGTTTATCTTCAAAGGGGATATAGACACCGCACCTGCATAGCTAGCAAGGAGTATATGAGATCAAAGTCGTGGAAACTGACAGCATGGCTCCACACCAAACCTCAAATAATAACTTCCCAGATCATGTATTTCAGAAAATATTAAGGATATCATCCAATAGTTACTTAGAAAAACTAATATGCAGTCAACAATATCATTTAGTTTATCTTCAAAGGGGATATAGACACCGCACCTGCATAGCTAGCAAAACCTTTTGGATTTCACCAAGCTCCTTCTCCAGAATGTCTTCTTGAACTGCTAATGCTCGAGTAGCCTCTGAATTCTTTTGGGCCAAAGCTGCAGTCTTCAGGCCCAAAGACATAGTCAGAAATTATACATAATAAGAATCTCAAAACATCTCACAATAGAATAGTTAAGTAATAGGAAAGTTCAGGTATATTCTAATATCGACACCCCAATCCAAACTTCTGGTGATGAAGACTGAGATGTCTAAATTATAGCTTTTCAACCTTAAAACATTTTCTCGACAAAACTGAATCCTAATATACCTAAGCCCGTCACTGCAGGCATGGCAACAAACTTATATCGTCCAACAAAAACAGAGTTCAAAACTCACTCCTCCCTTGGGTGCAATAAGCTGAGCACTTCAACAGGACATGACAAGAATTCTCAACATATGCCAGACAAACTTTAGAATGCTTTGGACGAATCATTAACATAATGATTTGGCCTTTTCATTTTCAATAAAAAATTGCCATCAGAATTCAGAATAACAGGCATACATAGAAACAAAGCCTAGTACATTGGCAAGATGTAACTTTTCCTTCTCTCCCATCCATAAATGGCCAATACCAATACTTGACTGAAAGCACTAGTGACCATCCACATCATTAACTTTCTCTTTGTACCATAAACCTTAGAACCAATTTGAATTCCATGCTTACATCTAGCACCCACTAAATTCATCGAGTTGTTCCAAAGGGATTCCTTGGTTTGGGCCGAAGAAGCAAACCGCAATCAATACCGAAAAATTGAATTAGACCATGTAAAGTTCAACTTACATGTAACGATAATAAATTTTTAGTATATTCCAAGTATATGTTTTCTTTTTTACTTTGTAGATTCAATCCTTAAACTACATTGCAATGAAATAGAGCTAAATAAAAATAAAATAATAACAATAATAAAAAAAATAAAAAAAAAAAATTATCAATCACATGAAAAATCTGAATACCTCAGCAAGGGGTTCCTTTAGAGCCTTGCGAGTAACCCGAAATCGAATCCCCAACTTCTCAAGCTGCCTCGAGATAACCCTAATTAACGTCGCGGAGTTCCTCAAATCCTCCTCCAATTTCTCGACCCTCTCCAGCAGATTCACCTCCAACCCGCCCCTCACTGACCCCGAACAGAACCGCCTCCACTGCCGCCGCCGAATCCACGCGCCAATCCCAAGACCAGCCACCATCACCAACATCCCACACGAAAGGATTCCGTTCCCCATCGCCGCCGCCATAACCGTCTTCTTCGAGCTCGAAACCACGCAATTCACCGCGAAGCCAAGCGAAACGACCGCGGACGAGAAGACGCACAATGTCTCAACAATCGAAAGAAAAGAATCGAAGTCAAGGTCGCCATCTCTCCGTACCGGTCCTTCGGACTCGAAAACTCCGAGACGGAATCGATGAGTCCGCGGCGAATTGGAGCAGCAAGGGCTCGGAAGCTGCCGATTCGAGATATGGAAATGCGAGCGGCTGGCGAAGTGGCGAGAGGCGATTCGGAGAGGGAGGAGAGTGTGGTGGTTCTTGGGAGGATTTGCGGCGAAGTAAAGGGTGAATCGAGGAGGTGAATTTGTGAGGAGGTCGAGAGAGGCGAAGGACATGGTTGTGGATTTGTCGACGGTGCGGTGATGCAGAGTTTCAGCTAGAGAGTTAGGGCTTCGATGAATTTGTTGAAGAAGACATTGTTAGGGTTTTGCAGAGAGTGTTGTCTTTGGGTCGCAGAGACGGAGGAGGGGGTTTGAGAAGATGGAAGATTTTGGCGATAGGTTCGATTAGTTTGCGCGCGGTGGACTGTTATTTTGTATGTTTAGTTCGTTATTTTATACGTTTATTTTTGTGATTTGAGTTTTTAATTTAAATTGATATATATTTATATGTGATAATTTTTTATTGTAATAAAAAAATTAAATATAAGTATTTTTGAGAGTTTTTTATTATAATAAAATTTTAATTTTAAATTTGAATCAGTAAAATGAACGATATTGTTATTATTAGGACAAGTTTTATAAATTTTTTGAATTTTGTATCAATATTCTTGAACTTTAAAATGTGTCTGTATCTTTTAAACTTTGTGATTTATATCAATATGTTTTTTAAGTTTAATTCCATTAATTTTTTTATGAAAATGCTTCTAAACGCTTTTTGAATATTATTACTTATATCAATATGACCCTTAAAACTTTAAAATATACATGTTGTGCTTTTTAAAATATGATATATCTTTAACTTTTCTTCTCTTATCTTGATTTTATCAAATTTTTAAATGAAAATGTTAATATGATCATTAAATTATTAGTTAGTGATTATATTTAAGGTTTATTGAACGCTTTCTCCTCTAAACAAATTTATCGGGCGCCAATATTTTTTTATCAGAGACAATAAAGAGAAAAAAATAACTGGGGTTTGTTTTTTTTTTTTTTTATTAACTTAGTAATATTTTACCTAGATAAAAATGCTTGACATAAAATTTATTTTTTTTTAAGAATTTCACACAAATCTTAAAAAACCTATTAACTTAACAAACCTTACAAAAAAAAAAACCTCTTCACCATGAAAAAGAACAAAACACGTAATAACAAAATTTAAGAAAGAATCTATCAATTATGTTAAGAACAGATTAATTTAATAAACTTAATCTAATGAAAAAAAAAAAAAAACAAGAAGGCTAAAAAGTTAACAAACCCACCCATAACTTTATACATAATTGCTTATCATTTTTTTAGTTTTTAATGACTCTAATCAACTAATGTTTTGAGAATTATTGTCTAACTAATATTTAGACACAATTTAATGTTCATATCAACGTTAAATATAAACCACAAATATCATAATTAATTAGCAATTTAATGTTCATATCAACGTTAAATATAAACCATAAATATTATAATTAATTAGCAATTTATGTTCATATCAACGTTAAATATAAACCACAAATATCATAATTAATTAGATTTAATGTTCATATCAACGTTTCCGTTTAAAAAATTGATAGAATTGAGATGGAACGAAAAAAGTTAGAGACATTTCATATTTCAAGGGCATAATAGATACATTTTAAAGTTATGATGCATATGGATACAAATGACAAAGTTTAAGGGACGTTTATAAGTATTTCTGTTAAAAATCTTCACAGAATTAAACTCAGTAGGTATGTGGACACAAGTGATAAAATTCAAAGGACAAAACATGCACAAATTCAGAGACATGTTGACACAAGTGATAAAATTCAGAATTATTTATTATTATTATTATTATTATTATTTATTGTTCTTATTGTTATTATATATTATATAATAAAAAGTCTTAAAGTTGGAATATTTTTCTTTCCATTTTTATCATTAACCTTTCATACTTTTACTTACTTATTATTTATTCTTTTGTTATTTTGAGTTCAAGAAAAAATGGTTTTTTTTTTCATTATGCCCTTTAATTTTTGTTTTTTTACTTACTTATTATATACTCATTTCTCTTATTTAGAATTTAAGAAAAAAATAATGCGGTTCTATTTAGACCCTATCATCTTAAAATAATAAACTGTTATGGAATATTTTTCTTTTTCATTTTTACCATTCACTTTTTTTACTTTTCACTTATTTATTATTTACTCTTTTTTGTTATTTTGAACTAAAAAAATACGGTTAATTTTTATTTCTATTTATATTTTTCACTTTTTATACTTTTTTATTATCTATTCTTTTCTCTTATTTAAAATTAAAACAAAAGTTTAATTCTTCACTTTCCTAGAAATTTTTTAGTTGTCATGAAATGTTATCCTTTTTATTTTTGCCATTCACTTTTAAGTACTTATTATCTAATGTCTACTCTTTTATGGTTTTGAACTTAAGAAAAAAAAGTTATTTACAACCTCGTTCATTTTAAATTTAAATTTTATTACAATAAAAAATTTTAAAAAATAATCACATTTATTATTTTTTTATTTTTTCTCTTTATAAATGTAAACAATGAACTGAAGGACCCTACGTTCTCATATCTCGAATCAACCTACTAAACGCCATGCGTTTCCATCTCTCTCACCCCTCTCCTTTCTCGATCTCTCGCTCAAATTCCGCTTTAACCAGATCTGGAATAAGGGCTTCGCAGGTCGAGGGGTGGCTCGGCGGTCATGGGGTTGGGTTGGCGGTGATGCCGATTTGTGATAGGGTGGTGGAGCTGCGCCGGTGACGCTGGACCTATGTTGGGTATGCGAATTTTGCGATTTATTTTCTTGTCTAATCCTTCAAAATTCTGGTCTTAATCAACCTCATTTGAGAAAAATTCAAGATTGCCCCAATAATTTTACCAAACATAGAAATCTATAAACCCTTTGTGTCTCTTCGGTGGCGAGTGGCCGTCTTTCCTCTTCTCTCATCAAAACAACAGATCCGTGTGGCGATTCAGTTGCTGGCTTGGGTGTTCGCACAACCAATTTTCCCCTTTTCTTTTTATGTGGATTTCTGAATTTTTTTTAATGGGTAATCTTGGTTTAAAGAGTTATTCTTAGGTTTTATGTGGGTTCTGAATTTTCAATGAATTTATTTAACAAGTAACCAAATTCTCTGCTCGCATCAATTATTTGTGTGAAGCAGAGCAGCTATGGCGAGCTTTTCACGTCTACCATAAGAGTTGGTGGAGGACATTATTTCACGGCTGCCTCCAGAGTCTCTGGGGCAAGTCAAGTGCATCAGCAAGTCATGGAACACCCTTGTCCCTTATTTTGTGAACGACCCCGAATTTGTCGCCGGGCACCTCCGTAACATGGAATACGACCCCTTACCATGCTTTATTTTCGGTGACCGCTAGCATGTGAAACTCCCATTGGTCACTCTCTTTGATGATGATGATGATGGTAGCGAGAGCCGCATTCATGGTGGCCCGGAAGATGTCTATGTAGCACTTGATCCAGAAGGTGACACTAATATTCAAGAGGTTCATCATTGCCATGGGATCCTTTGCTCAATTCGATATGATGGAGACATAATGTTATGCAATCCAGCACTTAAGGAATACAAGTGTCTTCCGAAATCAGAGATTGGCGCTCGGAACAATTCTTTTACTGGCTTTGGATATGATTCGTGAGCTAAGGATTACAAAGTTGTGAGGATTTCCGGTTCTGAGGGTATTAGAGCTGAGGTATACACTATGCGAACTGATTCATGGAGAGAAATTGACGTGAAAAATCTCGGGGATATTCATGCTTCTGCATGTAAGATGCTATGTTGGAGAGGAGTTTGTTACTGACTGGCGTTTGAACAACGCACAAACAAGGGCAAGATCCCTTGTTTTGATCTGTGCAATGAGGAGTTTCGTACAATGCCAGGTCCATCTGACATTGATTTGTTTGTAGATGCTTCGGGATTTTCTTGTGGAATGACTCCCTTGCTCTGTTTTTATGTAATGATGCAATTGATCCTTCGTCTTCTTTACAAAGAAACCCCCGCGACAGAACTTTTGAAATATGTGATGGATAACTGCTGTGGTTTGGAAGGTGTTAAAGGTGCTATTGATTTCAGATCAAACGCAACCAGAAAATATACATGCACAGAGAAAGATCAAGACACAAACGATTTACTTGGTTCGGGCTTTGGAGAAACCCTACATCCAAGGGCAGGGAAGAAATTCCCCAGCATAATCCACTATCACCAGAAAAGAACAATTACACACTCTTGATCTCACAGGTACAACGAATATCTCTCAGAAAATACAAGCTCTTTTCAACCCTTGAGCTATTCCCAGAACACTCGTTCCTCACCTCTCTGTTTTCACACCCAAGAACTCAGCCTTATTGTCCAGAGAGTAAAAGAGCAAGAGTAATAATCATCCGGATCTTAATTACAAGAGGCTTATTTATACTAGACCAGTAAATAGACTCTAAAGACTAACCAGAGTTAAGGCATTTAACCAATCCATGGTAAATAACAACTAAGTCGGTTATAACAAATAAGCTGCAGTCTTATTTGTAACTAACCAACTAATAAAGAATATAGCCTACCAAGATAGAGTCACCTCTCCAACATAACTCCACCTTGACTCTGATTTGATAATGGATTAATGCTAGGAACCCTGCAATCACTAAGGCAATCAAGTTGGCAAAATACCTAGCAAGTTCAAGCCTTGCTCAAACTTGCTTACAGGCAATGCCCTTGTTAACATATCAACCGAGTTAACCAAAGTGGAAATCTTTTCAACTTTAATTTTCCCTTGTGTTATGATTTCTCTTACAAAATGCAATCTAACATCTATGTGTTTCGTTCTTTCATGAAACACATGATTTTAGCCAAATGAATTGCACTTTGAGAATCACAATTGATTGTGGCTGTATGTTCCTTGATTTCCAGTTCCTTAGTGATTCCTTGTAACCAAACAGCTTCCTTGAATGCTTCTGTCAATGCTACGTACTCGGCTTCAGTTGTTGAAAGAGCAACAATGTGTTGCAGGTTTGATTTCCAGCTGATTACGTTTCCACCAAGAGTAAAAACATAACCTGTCACTGATCTTCGTCTATCAACATCTGCAGCATAGTCTGAATCAAAAAAACCTTCAATCACAGCTCCACCTTCATGGTTACTTCCATACACCAGACCAACATTTGCAGATCCAATAAGATATCGAAGGATACATTTTACAACATTCTAATGCTCCTTGGATGGCTTACTCATGAATCTACTTACCAAGCTTACCCCATAAGCTAAATCTGGTCTTGTTCCAATCATAGCATACATCATGCTACCCACTGCATTACAATATGGAATTTTCTTCATAAATGCAGCTTCTTCACTTG